GCCTGGAGTAGAGATGCTCCTGCCACTGCCTGCTGTGCTGGGGGAAGGTGCAAATCAGCAAGGGGTTGGAAAGGCAGTGAGCAAAGGCACCAGGAGTTCACCCATCTCTTTTTCTCGACCCAGGGTCCCCAGATGCTGTGAATTATCTCCCTGGAGATGTCAGGGTGTGCCCTGCACAGACGGGTCAGGGCAGCTGCCAGGCGCTGTACCGTGGCTCTGGCATTTTTCTTGGGGCCTGTAGTAACAGCTGTGTTTTGTTGTTCTTGCACAGGAACATGAGCTGGAGAAAATAACGAGGCATTTTACTGTAGAAATGGCAAAGAAGGGATTTATAGGTGAGAGTGGTTTTGTCCCCATTCTGTGAGCAGCGTGTGGCTTGCAGGCAGGGGAGCGGGCAGCGGCTGCATGGCCCGAGGGGCACAGAGGCTGCTGCTCACTCGCTGCCTGTCAGCAGCGCTCACTGCCCTGGTGCTCTGCTGTCTGTTCACTGCTTCGCTCTGCCTGTGCTGTGCATTTGGAGCAGGGGGGGCCTCATGCAGTGCTGAGCACGGTGGGGCTGGCCCAGGCTGTCTCCAGGTACTGCCGGGCAGGGGTCTCACCTGCACGTTACCCTCCATTCCCACTGGCCTGCACAGGCGGAGGGGGGAGTGAAGGTTTCTCCTGCCTCAGCGTGTTACAGAAAGCTCAGTGGGTGCTGATCACAAGACAAAGACCTTTACGTTCCCTCTTTGCTTGAAAATGTTGGGAAGGGACTCAGCAAACACCCTGTGAAAGCCAAAGACATTCATACCTGAGGGAAGCTGGGGAGGCCCCGGGGCAGCACCACGCTTTGCTCAGGGGACTCCATGGTGTGCCCAAGGACGTGACCGGCCTGTGAAAATCACCTGGCTGTGCACGTGCCGTTGGTTGGAGCAGAGCAATTGAATCACAAAGACAGGATCTGACAGATTATTCTGCCTCAGCAGGGCCTGGGATTGACGTGCTGGCCCCTGATGTCAGTACTGGGGAGAAGGAGATGTCCTGGATCGCTGACACCTACACCCACACGCTGGGGTACCGGGTAAGCTCTGACAGTGCTGGTTTGGAGCCTGGGATGTCATGGGCTGTGCCCAGAGGCCTTTGCCAGTGAGTTGCTTTAGGTTTAGCTGAGGCTTAGGGGAGGGTGAGGGAAGCCTCCTCTAGAGGACCTGCACCAGGTGAGACCTTAACCTTTGCTCTCCGCATCCCGGCCTCGCAGGACATCAATGCCCAGGCGTGTGTGACAGGAAAGCCCATCAGCCAGGGAGGCATCCACGGGCGACACTCTGCCACTGGGCGGGGAATCCTGCATGGCATTGAGAACTACATCACCAACACAGACTGCATGGACTGCATCGGCCTGAGCCCCGGCTTCCCTGGCAAGACCTTTGTGCTGCAGGTGAGCGCTCAGCCCAGGTACAGCTCCAAAGAGAACACTTCCTTGGGATCTTTCTGCCTCTCTTTTCCAGGGGAGCTTCAGTCTCAGTGCTGCCTGGACATGATTTCCCAAATCTCTCCTCACCCTGTAGCAGCTGACACACCTTTGAGCAGTTTTTCAGACCTGCTGAGGTCCAGGGATGCCACACTGCTCACACCACACAGGCTTTCCCAAGGCTTCTCTCTAGCCAACCTGTCTGAAATCGCTCATAAAATGGAACTGTGACTGACCCTCGTCTGCACAGCAGGCAGAGCAGAGAGGTGGCAGGACACAGACTGGGTGGAGAGAGCTGACCCCAGTGACATCACATTTCTGTCACCTCCAAACTGGCCGCAGCGAGCTGTGATGTTACCCACGGTGAAGGTCCTGCAGCCCCCATCTCTTCTGGGTGCTCTCTGGGTCTGGCCCACGCTGGCCTGCCTTGTGCAGTCACCTGGGAGCTCGGTGGGACCCTGCAGGTGCCAGCCCTGCCTTCTCCCCTCTCCTGCCAGGAAGGACCTTCCCTTCCCTTCCCTGCAGCCCTGGGCCTGCTCGCAAGCGTGGTGAGGTGCTTCCCCCTGCTGTAGCTCCAGGAGCTTCTGCTCCCCACCAGGCGCTGCTGCCCCATCCACTCCCCTCTCTGCCCGCAGCTGCCCGTTTCCTGCGGAGGCCACTGCTCTCTGCAAGGGAGAAATAAACTGGAGACCGTGCGGCTCAAGTCTTGCCCGGGGCCGGCACTCCGTGCTTTTCTCCGAACACTCGCTCCTCGATGCAGCTCCCTGCTGCGGGGAACAGGCTTTGAACAGAGGCAGCACCTGGAGCAGCTGCCCACAGTGCCCTCAGGAATGGCCCTGCCTTTGCTCATCCCTTCCCTTTTCTCACATCTTTCTGCTTCACTGACATGGCAGAGAATGAGAAGGCTGGAGTCCTCAGCTGCTGTTTGTATAACCTGGCTGTGTTTGGGGAATGGTTTTGCTCAGGAACCAGTGTTGCTTTTAGGAGCTGTACCAAGCTGTCAAGCACTTTGGGGCAGCCAGTGCAAAATCATCTCTTTCTGTAAGAAGAGCTGAGCTACCCCCATGGCCCTGCCTTGTGCTGGTGCCGTGGCAGCCAGTCGCAGCCCCTCGGTGTGAGGTGCCAGAGGATCGCTCAGATTGTGCCTCGATGCTGTGTGGTGCCCAACAAGGGACTGTGTTTCTCGCTGGATCTGTTTTGTGTTGAGAGTGGCTCTTAGAAGCTGAACAGCGTGCTGTGCTTGGAACATTGCGTCCAGGGGCTCTGGAGGTGATAAAGACAGGCTGAGCTAGAAGCGTTTATCCCACGGGCTTCGCTTTTCACAACCCTCTAACTAGCCAAGGAGATCTCTGCCCTGCCAGGTCCCAGTCTCCATTCAGCCAAAATATTCACCAAGGCCTGATAGATTAGAGGTTCCTATTTGTGCTTCTCAGCTCCAGCTCCTGAGAGGGGCTGTTACCAAAGCAGCAGGTAGTTTTCAGTGTTTGTCCCTATGACTTGCCTCTTGCCAGACCTCTGCTCTGTGTTCCTGTAGGGCTTCGGCAAAGTGGGGCTGCACACCATGAAGTACCTGCACGAGTATGGAGCCCGCTGCATCTGTGTTGGGGAGACAGATGGAGCCATTTACAACCCCAGAGGGATCGACCCCAAGGAGCTAGAAGACTACAAGCAGGTGAGTTGATCCCAGTCAACCCAGCCCCTGTTCATGGTGGGGGTGGTCAGTGCCTGTCTCTGAACCACCCATGGAGAACTGCCCGCTGCCCCTCACCTTCTGCAGAGCCCAGCTCTGAGGCCAGGCTCTCCTGCTCCTTCCAGGGCCATGGCACCATAGTTGGCTTCCCAAAAGCAGAGCCCTATGATGGCAGCATCCTGGAGGTGCCCTGCGACATCCTCCTTCTGCTATTGAGAAGCAGCTCACGAGGGAGAATGCGCCCCGAGTGAAAGCAAAGGTACAGACTGCTCGCTCCCAACAGGCCCTGCATCAGTGTGAGTGGCAGCAGTCCAGCCAAACCTTCACTGTTGGCACTCAGCACCCCAGGGAGGTGTCACATCACTGCGCTGACAACTCACCCTCTGTGCTAGAGGGATGGAGCCTGAGGCAGAGGTGGCAGGTCACATAATTCAGGGGAAGAGTAAAGCCTGAGCCCTTCCCTTTGCCGGCAGGGAGCAAGGATTGTTGGAGGGACCTTGGCTGGCTCTTCTGGAATCCTCAGTCTTCATTGCTGTATCAGATCCTCCCCCCAGGGCAGGGGAGATGATATTCTCGAAGGTACTGGGTGTGACAGCGTTGGCACTGAAAATCATAGGCAGCAGATAAGAGTGAACAGAGCAAGGGATGCTGCAAATACCAGCTTCCTCCCTTCACTGTGAGCTCTCCAGGGACCAAAGGAACAGGGCGTGCTGGGACCCGGGGCTCTGTCACAGCCAAGGTCTTTTGCAGCCTGAACCTGTAATAATTCTGTGCAAAACATGAGGTCTGAACTTCTGTTCAACCTGAACAGCTTCGGTGGGGAGGCGAGTGCCAAGAGCCCTGCCACCAGAAGTGGCCTGGTGGGGGGATCCAACAGCAGGGAAAGCAGCCTGTCCCTGCTTTCTTCCTTAATTTCTTCCACCTATCTCACCTCTGCTCTGCTTGTGCTCTCAGATCATTGCAGAAGCTGCCAACGGCCCCACTACACCAGCAGCACATGAGATATTCCTGCAAAGAAACATCCTGGTCATCCCGGTATGTCCATCTCCACACACATGGGGGGATGATGGGCTGGTGGCTGTTTGGGCCACACAGTGTTGTCAGCTGTGCTGATGTGGCTCCAGCTGGGCTCTGCGATCAGGCAGTGCTGATGGTGCTGTCTCAGTCAGCCTGTTCCCTGCCTTGCCCCCAGCTCCTGAGCACAACTCTGATGCTGGTTTCCCTCCTGAACCCTTCTGGTTCTTGCCTGCAGCAGCAGTAGAGCACAGGGCTCCTGGCCAGCACCAGGGTGTCCTGCAGCCACTGGTGGACCAACAGCAAACCGTGACACATCCCACAGGGTGTCAGAGCAGCTGGTGTCTCTGCTCAGAGGCAGTGCAGAGCCACCGTGGCTCTAGAATCCAGCCATCCCAGTAACCTCAGGGCAGAGTCTGAGTCCCCAGTCCCTGAGGGCAGAGCCCAAGGGTTTGGGGAGAGACCCAAGGCAGGGGAGGAGATCCCCAGGTGGATCATGGGTCTCAGGGTCACTCTAAGCAGCATGTACTGCCCTTGGCAGGACGTGTATGTGAATGCAGGTGGTGTGACTGTATCCTTCTTCGAGTGGCTGAAGAACCTCAACCACGTTAGCTACAACCGTCTCAGCTTTAAGTACGAGCGGGAATCCAGCTACCACCTCCTGCAGTCAGTGCAGCACAGCTTGGAGCAGTGGTTCGGCAAGACCAGAGGGGAGATGCCCATCATCCCGACCCCGGGGTTCCAGGCCCGCGTGGCTGTAAGTGTCCACAACCATGGAAGGTTGTCCTGGCTCACTTGTTTCACATTCCCAGACCCTCCTCTCTGCTGTCCTGTGCTGAAAGCTGAGCTTGTGGCACACACAGAGTCCCCCATGCTACCATCCCACTGGTGGAGGAGATGGAGCAGAGACACTGTGTGTGGTGGAACAGCCCTACGATCTGAGGGTGCTGCAGGGAGTCCCTTGGGAGCCACCATGTGCTGGAACCAGCTTGGAGAGCTGGCAAGCCAAGCTTAGACCACCTGTGGTGGACTTGCACTGAGCAGAGGGGCTGTGTTTCATAAATGGGTCTGGGGGCCAACCTCTAGCCTCTCCCACCAGACATTCACTTGTTCTCCTCAGGGTGCCTCAGAGAAGGACATCGTGTATTCAGGACTGGCCTACACCATGGAGCAGTCAGCCAAGGTACTTCCACAGGCTCCCAGCCTCACCCATCCCCACTGTCAGGCCCCTCGTCTCACTGCAGAGGCTCTGTGCTGTGTTTGAGGGGTGCCCACCCACGGCACCCCGTCACCATTCATGGTGGGTCAGCATGAGGCCTGGGTTCACCTTCCCATTGGTGGCTGTGTCCACACATCACGTAAAGCCTCATGCTCAGCGCTGTCCCTTGTTGGTGTTGGGTCCTTGTCCCTCTCTCCATCCCCCTGCACCTGTGTTCCCCATTTCCAGGGTTGCTTAGATGAGCCAGTGGGTGCCAGCACTTCTGGGTGGGGGGTCTTGTGCCACCCCTGGGGAAGTGGCTGCACGCTGTGCTCAGAAGCATGAGCGGCGTGGGTAGAGCCCACCTGTGGGCACAGGGTCTGTCCCCAGGGGAGTGCTGTGGGGCAGCAGTCAGACAGCATTTCCAGATCTGCTCGTAGGTGGCTCCAGGTCTTGTATCAGGTGCTCCTGGGGCCTGGCCTGGTGCTTGCACACATGGTGCTATCTGCACCCTCCTCTCTGGGTCCTCTGCCCTCCCCTCGCCCCCAGGCCCTCCCATCACGCACTGGTCTCACAGCTCTCTTCTCTCTCTCTAGCAAATTATGACCATGGCTGTGAGGTACAACCTGGGTCTGGACCACAGAACTGCTGCCTACCTGTGTGCTCTGGAGAA